GAGAACAACAATAATAATATCTAATAATGATTCCCTCGGTTGACACATTTTAATATGCTCACGGTTATATTACCCACGGTGGGCACTTGTTAATATGCCCACGGTTATGTGGCATGAACACATTGGTATTGGTGATGTATTTTTTTGAACATATTAACGTCACCAATGTGTGCATGACATAAACGGTGGACATATTAACATGTGCCCACCGTGGGTGGAGCATTCCTCTAATAATATATTATATATGTAAACAAAAATAGAGTAGAGACACCATGATGATATAATAAAAATACAATAAACAAACATATAGTTCAAAAATGAAATTATAAAAAGATTGCAGCTTTAATCAACCCTTTTTTATAAAAGTTAAGAAAAAAGTTGTCTTGTGTGATTTATATATAGATTAGGGACTTAATTAGGGTTTATCCCATGCACCCTTATGACAGATTTCCTATATCTCAAATCATTTTTTATCAAATAAAAAAAAAGCACTAAACATATTTGTGGTTATTTTCCGGCTACCCATACATTTTCCGACGATCTTCTTTTCAGGTGTTGAGTTCTCGACGAAGAACTTAACGTTTTGGACTAAAGTTGATTAGCGAAATTTCGCACATTAAGGACCAAAATTGATTAAATTGAAAGTTGAGGTACCATAACAGAAAATCATCTATAGTTTTGTGTACCGCAAAAGAAAATTTTCCCTAATTAATACTATTGATCATGATCATACATACCTTGGAATATCACAATCCTTGGGCTGCCATCGCCATTTCTGATAATCCGAATCTTTTCTCCCGTTTTGTTGGCATCGAAAACCAGGATCTAGAAACGGGCAATTCTCCGAATACCTCAAACGAGGTTGATCTTCGTCGAATATCCAATTTCCATTGGAAAAATCGCATTCGTTCTTCGAGCCCGGATCTTTTTCGGGTAAAATTCGGGGCAAGAAACTGGTGTTGAAAAACGAGGTGGGATTTAAAAGCTTGCAGCTAACAATGGTGGCCACGATTAAGAAGAAAAATAGAATCCCGTGTTTGAGTTCTTTCTTGATTGGATAATAAGGCCAATTTTGCTGAGTTTGTTGCATGGAGGGCAGATAAGAATAGGACAAACAAAATAAAAAAAATAAAAAAAAAAATATGAATGTGTTAGAATTTGGGAGATAGAATTAGAAGGGGAATGGTGGAAAATTGGAATTTATATACGGTGTGACCCTTTTATTTTATTTTTTATTTTTTATTTTTTATGGAAATTTTGATTAGGGTATGTAAGTAAGGTAATTAATTATTTTGTTGTGATCATGTTATTAATTGCTCATATATGCGTACTCTTTACGGAAGTTATTAATTGGTGGAGGGGTTACTAATATGATAATTTCGTTTGGTAATCAGCATTTGTGCACCAAATTATTAATAGTTTAAAGACTGAATTAGGAGTTCGATCCATCAGGATCTCTAATATTATTATTTGGGGAAATTTTATGGTCCCGTTACGGAATCATTCCGTCAGGGTTGTAACCGTTAGATCATCATGTAATCGTCGCGGATAATTTATCTAACGATTACAAACCCCAGACAAAATGGTCCCGTAACGAGACCGTAACATCTTCCTTTATTTGTTATGTCATATATGACTCATGAACACTAGTACAACGCCCGTGAATTACACGGGTGTTTGCTAAAAAATTTTCTTAAAATTGAAAATTAATGAGAAAAAATAGTTGAAAATTTAAATACTTTTTATAAAAAGTATATATTATTATATATTTAGTATGACACTTGTTACTTGTGCGGTTTACCTGTGTTATATTATAATAATTTTCTAACTTATAACATACAACTACATTAAACATAAATATATTAATTGAGAAATAATTTTATTTTTTTAATTAATTTTAATAAATCTTTTTTTCTTATTATAAAGATGAATGTAATTTATTTATTTTATATATACAATATGGATGTCAAATCGAAGCTAATCAAAAGATGATTAATTTGATATATTATATATGTAAAAGCGATAAGAAATACAAAAGTTATCAACTTTTAAAATACATTTACAATTCAATAGTTATTATAGAAAATTATATTAAAATACAATTAATACATCTAAATAAATAAAAACATATTTATAAATCAACATATTTATGGTAATCCTAACCTAATTTTTTGGATTGAAATTAAATTAAAAACTATCCAAGCCAAATAATAAAGCATAAAATTTTGACACATACGATGCATGCGAGCATGCCACTTAGACTCAGCACATTCAGAAATTATTTATAAGGGAATGCTACTTTGTTGGCTTAAATTCTAAAACCTACCAATTTAGTCCTCATATTTGACTCAAATTGCAAATCTTTAACTGGGCCTCCATGAACGAAGAACATTTGCCGCTACTTCGGCCCAAATTTATGAAATTTATCGGTGCCGTTTAAATGTGACCACGTCAAATTTATGTATGCTATCTAATATAATAGGTAATTTGATATTTTATTTTTTATCTTTGCAATTCAATATTTAAAAATAAAAAATATTTATTATTCAAAAGACATCGTTCACCAACCATTGAAACCTAAGTCCATCTCTCAATTTGCAAATATTTAAAAGTCGTGTTATAAATTGTCAAAAATATAAAATTATGCTTAAATTGGTGATGTTAATATCTTCAAAAAAATACATCACCAATGTGTGCATGTCACATAAGCGACGGACATATTAACATATGTCCACTGTAGATAAGGGAACATTACTCATTAATCATAATCTTGGGTTTATAAATTAATTTGCAACTTATAGCATATTTGGTGAATTGGCACCAAATTATATAAAATTTGCTACTATGCTCAAGACCTAGATTTGTCAAGCCAGATTGCACTTGGGCCCAAAAAAATAAATAAATAAATAAATAAATAAAAATAATAATAATAATATAAAAAATTGTACCTATTGTACTCCACTAACTTTTTTTGTTATTAAAATAATTGCAATGCCATAATACTGTCCAACTATTTAATTTTTTTCTGGCATGTCACTAAATAAAACTTTAGATGATGGTGCCATTGGCAGGATGAGGGAGAGCCATGATATTGTCTAACTATATAATTTCACTTTTTTTTTTTAATGCATTACATTTTTTAATATTATGCTTGTGTAAGAAAAAAAAAAACATGTTGAATTTA